AATTATTACTTATTTTTATTTCGAGACATCTTGTAACACCTTGAATCACCTAATACTGAATATGTACCGTTTTAAACACAGATAAGTGTTCACAATTGAACTTTGACAATATGTATTGTATAACTGATTCAGTTAACTCATTGTATAGAATAGGTTATAAACTATTAATATCTACAGGGTTATATTACACATTCATATAGCATAGACTCTAGCATCAAAAACTTATTCTCTATTCCATGATTTATATAACAAATTAAAGATCATAGTCCTCTTCTAACCAATCTACCAGAGGTACAAAAACATTTGCCTTCATCACGTATTTTTACTGTTTGTCTAAGAATAATGATGTGAACTTAATAGATATCTTATAATTTCATTTCATATTTCAATAGGAGTAAGCTACTTATTATTTTTTTGATGTAATTAAAATATTTTTATTTTGAAATTTAAAGATATCAATGAGTTTCTCAGGGAAACCTCTGTGTATCGAATAGTTCCAAAAATTAATTTGTCCAACTAGTCTATGGGATAATTGTAACTGGAACGATGACTAGTTATCACTTTCATGATGTTTTGCAATCGCCACCAGATCTCTTTTCCATTCTTATGAACAAATATTCAGTCTTAAGTTCATGTCAGCATTATTTTAAGTTTTGTCACTAGTATCAACGTATTTTATAACACCATTTCCATTGAAACTATGATTTCACTGAAATGGCTCTAGAATTCTCTGCAGTATAGCTTGTTTCTAGAATAGTGATTCGTAAGAAGTTACAGTTTCTTGACATGTTCGAGTCTTAATGAGATATCACAACGAGAAGATTGTGTATAAAGTAAAAATAACTAAATAAAATTTACTGATGAACGACAGTACATTGCCATCTATGTAAACATTATCTTCACAATCCATCGACCGACTTACTAGATTTAGTTGATTTTCTTTCTTGCTAATAATCCAAACATAATGATTAAAGTTTCAGACTAGAAATTAGCTATCTTTAGGTAGCACCTAGATAAGGTTATTTAGTTAATGATATAATTGAACCTTGGTTGCACATAGCTTACATAGAAGCTATAGAAATCCATTATTTCCGATATCACCTGCTTCCTACTCAGGCTAAACGTTTTAGCTTTAATTCGAAAATATAATATTGGCATTACTCGAATGAACATGAAAATTATAAACAAAGTTTTTATTCCACTCAATATAGTTACAGTAAAGTTGTATGATAAACTCTAAAATATCTCAGTAGTGATAAATCTATGGCTGAAATATTTACTACTGGTTAAAGCATTCGGCTCTCAACTATTTGGTAGAAGGTTCAGTCTATAAACAACTTATTTAACATGGACATTAGGTAATACAACAGCCTTTACACAAATAGCATAGCTCACGGTCAAGTAACTAAACTTGTACTTGATAAATCTATTATTACTAATGGTTCAGAAATAAGCTGATGGTTTTAAATAAACCATAGATTGGGTAAAAGTTACATGGGTATATTAAGATTAAGTAAAATAAAAACTAATTGTAGTTACAGACAAGATTTTTTTAGTCTGTGGAGTTAAAACCGAATCATTCGACCTTAAATTTGTTTCTAATATTTTCAACTATTTCAAATATCAAGAAACATTGAATTGAAGTTAAATCGATATTCGTTTTATTCGACATTATGCTGTAAATTTTTGGATAGACATCGGTTAATCTTGACAGTCAATAAATTGTGAGTGGAAGACAACTTCGTGATATGTTTAAAAAAAGATGTCGATACAAACCTGTAAACTCTTTGGTAATGTTTCTGTATATGGTGATATAACCGTTTCATCATCGGATAAGCAATCATCCAAGTTATTGAAATAATTAATGAAGAAGCAACAATCCCATTTAATCCATCGGGGAAATAAAAGATCTGTGGGTAGAAGAAAAGAAAGAATGCTTTACTGCAGTGCGATGTTACTTTTCATAGTAAAAGATATTAGTGTGGTCTCAGGAACAATAGGAATTCTTCAAAATAAAAAACAGAATCCCACAAGTAATAATTAATAAGTAACCCAAATTTATTGGAACTGATTAACATATGTATGGAACTGGTAAATAAGACAATGTGAAATCTTTAAGATCATTGCCTTTAGAATGAATCTCTCTACTACTTCTAACATGCAAGAAAAATTTCTCAGAATAAAACGGCATCCCCTAAAGATTCAAGCACTATTAGCCCACCTATCATCAAAGAGTATGAAACCAAGAGTTGAGATATGAAGATTTGTGAGATAAGATATTGTACGCGAACCGGTTGCAAGTGGTTGAATATGTCTACGGCATCAGCGTCTGAATGATCAAAATGCTAGCTCGGAAAACGTAATATCGTTCCACACATCAATTCAGCTGCACAACGATTGATGTACAGTTTTGGTGTTGAGCGAATTCAAACTAACTTTAGAGAAAGCTTGTCACTGCACTTGTAACCACTCCTAGTAAACTTCCAACTGGTTTTGAGCCAAAGATTAAATATCTCTATCACCCAATTTATAAAAGAATGATAATCGGAATTTCGTATTCTTTTAGCTCATAGAGTTTCTTTGAGCTGTCGAAATAATTGGATATCTAACTAAAAACTTTGGTCCGACGTGATGGTTCATGGGATATCTGTTGTTCAGGGAAGCATCTAGCAATTTTTATAGACTACTTAAGTAAAATTGCTATCGACCATTTAGTGAAGCTGTCAAAGCAAGTAGTTAGTAAGTGTGTCCATTCAATGGGGTGATAGTAAGAAAAGGTTAAGCGCCATATTATTCGTAGCTTAAGAGATTGATTTCGTGATTTGACTGTTCATCAAACAATACTATGCTAACGAGCACTGACGTTTTCTCAGTAAATAATATAATCCGAACCACTCATGTATTTAGTTCTGATAGATATATATTCATTAAGGATTTCTTGTTTTTCATATCAATTTAAGAACCATTCACACATAATAACTGTCAAATTCAGTAGTTTTTATCAAACAAAGCGTTCATAAATTGTTTCAAGGAACCATGAGTGCTTTGAAAAAAATGAAGTCGAAATCTGGCTTGATTGTTGACTTTTATTAATTAATAAATATCATTCGTGATACATTCGATTCGGATGAAACTGTGCTTCTTCTCATGTTTAAAGCATCAGTTTTAGCATTTCATTCTTGTACTTTACACATGAAATTTCGTATATGCCAACCAATTTGTATTTGATTTCCAAATGAGAATGTTTGAATCAGCGGGGAATATCTTAGGCCCAAAATATAACCATCATAATGGGAACTTTACAAAAACTTGGTAAATTCAGGAAAATGAGCATATGATTTTTAAGAAAATCAATTCAACACTGATTTTAGTATTTGCCAAAGAATGTTATGTAAATAAACTAACCACAAGTAGCTTAATTCCCTTACATTTTATTCTTGACTACTTAATTATTAATTAAAAACGTCAGTTGTTTTTGTTATGGTTTCTTAACGGCTGCCTTAGTCGAGCAAGTATTCGAAACATCTTTCTCACAATATCTACTAGTATTTCATCTCTATTGAGTTATCCAGTTCGTATTGTTAATGCATGCTAACATTCCTAGTTTACTGGAAATAGATATATCCAAATGGATTCAGTGCTCTCGTTTTTGTTATTTGTATCCCTAATTGATGGGAAGATAGGATGGCATATTGCCTTTTGCGATCCACGCTAAAACAAATCATCGTCTCCCGGTGTTTCGAATTGGCAGGAACCAAGTAGACTACACGCAGATCAACCGGAGGTAAAGCCTCGCCAAAGCATCTGGCCAACAAGGCTGGGCAGAAGAGCACCCTAGCAACCGGTGGCGCAAAGAAGCCTCATACACACAAATCCGGGACTATTGCTCTTACGGAAATTCATCACTAACAGAAGAGTACTGAGATTTTGACTGGCAAGTTTCCTTTCTAGTGTTTGGTTTGAGTGATAACCTCAGACTTCAATACTGACAATCAATTTCACTTACTGACCTATCGTAATAATTATTGTTTTTGTTGTCCTGTGTTATCTGCTTCCGCTTTATTTTCCATAGTTGTAGATCTGCGTAATCAATTCGTTATGGAGCAGGAAATTACCCTAATTACACTGTTCATACATCAACAAGATATCCACTTTAAAAAGAATTTAAAGTTCCCGGCTGACGCCTTTCATTGCTGTAATACGTGCGAATAATGTACTGCCTCAACAATTTTCAAAGTAGAACACTTCAAACAATCTAATTCCCATATATCCTCTACATTTAATATCAATATCTGTATCAAACTGATCATGCCATTTGACTGGCATAAATTCTGTAATTGTCGTTTTCAGAATATGTTTATTATTATTATTATTAGTTTTGATGACAGTTACAACTTTTGCTTGTGTTCCAGAATTAATCAGCACATAAAAGCACGTAGGGTTAAAAAGTGAATCAATTTAGGTTTTTCGAAGTTCGTTTCCGATAAGAACTATAACCAGATAGAGAACTGCTTCAAACCAAGTATCAATCGGTTGTTGTTTGTTAAAGCTTGGGATGCTTCGGCAGTAAGCACTCATCATCCCATTATGAGATTGGATTCAGGATCTTTAGATATCACAACGAACACAACACCAAATCACTGTGTTGAAATTTAGCAATCCCTACTCCCTTGTGCGATCACTTTACAATATAGTGAATTAGTTATTAAAGGGATTTTAACTGAGCACGGAATGAGTCCTTTAAGGTAAAGATTAAAGGCTGGTTACTAACTAATAGTCATAAAACAGAAATAGAAACCAAGCGAGAATAAGTGCCATTTGCTATTCACAGTGAATTTGTAGGGTTGCGCAATAATCTAAAATTGAAACCAACAACAAATCAGAGGTAAGAGGAAAATCGAACCCAAGCTAAAATGGACCAAGTATAAGATGTGTAGTAACACAGAATATGTGATTAAAAAAACCACATAACTAAGCACAGACAGCCGAATGTTGTGATTGGCGAAGCCTAACATCCCGCCTGACCATCCCACCAATAAGCTCACAGTATATAATTGACCTCAGGGCTAGGCTTGCTTTGACTTTTTTGTGATTGGACATAACAAAATGCATGCGCCCAATCTCATTGTGTCTTTTTAGAAAAATGGAATAATCAATATAAACCCTGCGTAGGCACAGCCTTAAGAGTTGTAGAGTGTATCGATCAAATATATTTCTATCCCTGGCATAAACGATGCTTAGTTTGTGCTTGGTCCTACTTTAGAAACAGCTGGATGCTTCGCATTGCAAAGTTGATTATTGATTAGTGGATATTGCTATTTTTTATTCTCACCCCCTAAAAATTGTCAAGATTTGAACGATTTCAATTGAATATCCAGTAAGTTGTCTTTCACAATATAAAACATCATTATATATTAAACATGTTTTATTCTACGAATATGATTCCATTTATTCTTCAATGTCTGTTGAACTCACTAGGTTATTTTTAGTCATAGTGTCACTAGTAATCAGTAATAACGGATTACATATAACTTGTACTGTTTAGCAAGAAACAATTACTAACCAGTTAAATATCGTATATGTCCAACGTTATCCTTTTGTTACATCCGAATGATTCATAGTTTCGCGATACAAACTGTAAAATTAAGGGACAACATAAGTACGAGGTGGTGAACTGCTTTCAATTTTAATTTCTTCATGAATATCTGTCCTTCATCATGTCAATCAACGGAACTCATTAGAAATTATAAAATGTCATGCTTTCAAAGTGGTACCTTATTATTAGAACAACCCATGAGCGAACAATTTTGTTTTCAGTCAAATCGTCATCAGGCTTGACTCCGATGTACATAAATATTTATCTATTTGATTGTGGTAATTGGTTCATAAATTACCTTGATTAGTTTAGTGTTTTCACATATCTATACAGATATTTATGTTTATTGTAGTAAGGCCTGGTGACTATCAAGTTGGAAATATTGTTCACTTATATATGTTCTAAATTTCATAATGAGAATCCTTAACATCTTATGTCGTGAATACAAACACTGTTAACATTAATGGTTATTGAGTTTATGAGAGTAATTCTTACAATGGTATTTCTATATACCAAACCTCTGTTACTGGACGACACCTAGACTTCCCCTAAAAGATGACATTTCCGACTAGTCTTAGTTTTCTTACCTATGCAGACAGTTGTAATAAAGTCTTAAGACGGATTTATTATTTGATATTGAGTTTTCTGCATGTATCGAGATATTATTTCAATCACACTACGTTCCAATAATGGAATGGAATCCTATATTGTATGATGGAAAGATAGTTCCTTCGTTTCCTATTCACTCTCGCTTCAGAAATGTCTTTGTGTCGAGAATTGGTTATGCTGTCGTACGTGAATTCGGTTTTGAATTATAACGGGTGAACAACCCAAACTTCATCTTAATACATATTAATTGCTCACTCTGGAGGTATAGATAATTTATATCAACTACCTTAGCAGTACGTTAACATGCTTATATCAATTCAACTTCCCTAACCCTCATTAAAAACAAGGGATCAGTGAAAGGAATACTTGAAGTAATCTCTCTGGGCTCATTGTTTTATTTATTCTGATTGATCTTGCTTAGGAGGTTGATAACTCACAATACTCAAATACATAGTAGTTGAATGCAATTTTTCTCACTGTACTTTTCAATAAAAAGAACATCAACTTCTGAGGTATGTAATCAGTATTGAGTACCTAACAATTTGTCTTGAGTCATGACATTATGATTAAAATGTAATGTGTTCATGTGGCGTTTCGAGAATCAATGAACTTGACCATTTTACTTTCAATAAAGGTTGCGATACCATATAGTATGCCTTTCTAGTTACTCATAACAAAATTCAGATTTTGAGTTCTATAGTTATTTCATCACTTAATCCAAGAACCCAATGAAATATTGCCTATTCGAATGGTTCCTAGAATTCAAGATGAATAACGGTCGGTGATTTTAAGCTACTCAATAATATTTGGTAAACATGATCATTCACAAATTTGTTCCATATTAGTTGCTATGTCACAATTACTCAAAGTAAAAAAGTAGATCTCTAGACCCGTTTGCAAATGGGTCATTCCTGTAAGTGCATTATGAGATGAGAGCGGGAATGCTGTGGATATTTTGCTGAAAATAAGCAAACTCGTGATTTAAAATACCTACCCCATATATTACTGCTAGTTCGTTTTGCCTCATTTGTAATTTTCTAAGATTTTTGACCAAGAAGTGATTTGAGTTTGCAGATATCAACCAAGGTCCAGCCCTTATGTCAAAAACCGAGAAACAAATCTTTACGAATAACAACATCATAACTGTTAGAAAAGTTGGTGTCTGTCTAGAATCATTAGCTTACCGAGAAATGTGATGGCATTGAATATGAAAGCGTGCTGTGTTCGAGTCCCAGTCCAAACATCAACATTGGGATAGTGGTACATCCAGTTGATGGGCCCCACAATGCGTGAAGTGCGCATTCAAGAATTTACTCTTAGACGAAATCCATACATATTGTAAAAACATAACTATGGGCGATTGTGGGCCACCTCCAGAGCGTACGTATGTCAATAAAGTTTGATCAAAATTCAGTCTCGAAAATTAGCCACGGGAAAACGCAAAACTTTAAAAATAATACATTTGAGCACCCAAATATTTTACAGTGTTTTGTTTTAAAAAAAATTCGATGGAAAAAGTTTTGATGGCAAATACTTTTATTCATCATCAGTTCTTTCATGTAACCAACCAATCCTAGCTAATCTCCGATTTTTGTGTTTAGAAAACTTTCATAAACACTTACAATCTGGATTTGAAGAGTCTCTTAACTGAAGCGAGTGAGAACGACTTCATTACGTCTTCAGTGGAAACGACTGAGTGTAAATTTAAGAGAGCTCGAGAACTAAAGTAGTATTTGTTTTCCATAGTTAAAGGTATTATACTTAACGTCTATGTTTATTAATTTCCTCGTACTGAGATTTATGTGTACGAAAAAGTACACACACATTTCATAACGTCCACTCAAACTTCTATTTCTACATGAATAATATCTTCACTAATTATTTGCAAATCATCTAATTTATCACTTATAGATGGAAACTTCAGTCAGTTATAAAATGGATTCGTCAGATGAAAGTTCGTCTCTTTCAGTAAACCAAACAGACACACCAACTTGTGTTCATAAACACGAACCTACTGCTGAAGAAAAAAAGCTTACGAGACTTCTAATTGAACGTGTTCTCCCACCATTTTCAAAATCACTAAAACTACAAGCTCTTGTGGTTTACCAAGCTGATCAAGAAAAGATGAAATGTTTACTTGTTAACCAAACTTATGAGAAAACAAATGATCATTCTTTCGAAAACGGAAGTCCTAATCAAGATTTATCAGATTCAGGAATTATGGATACATCTACAGAGTCGGTTTCACCGATTAAAACACAAGCTGATGACGTTATAAAGAAGTACGGCTTTTCGATCTCACGACGTAAACGGAAGCTAAGTCGACCATGTAAAATACCTCAAAGTTCTATTGTTTCTGATCCTACTGAACCTTTACCTGCTACAACTGCTTCATCAACAACTCCCGTTTCAGCTCAACCAGTCTCAAAAGCAGTCACTGAAATTGTAACGCCGATGAAAAGTGGGCCAACAAATGGTTTATTTTTACCTGTCTCAGCAGTTACACTTCTTCCTCATGTGAGTGTTTTCTCCCTACCTGTAACAGTACTATCAACTGTCCATCGTCCTATTTTACCTCGAATTTGCACTGATAAACAGCCTATTCCCCGTCCTGTTAATAGTTGTAATTTACAGACAGTTATTTCGCCTCAATCAAAACATACAACGTCATCTAATTCAGTTTCTAAGAATTCCACCAGAGAATCCGTAAACTCAACAGACGATCCAAGTATCCATAATCGTCGATATGCTAAGTCATTTATATGCAATCAGTGTCGAAAACCATTTACATCATTAACTTTACTATGTGAACATACCTTCGCAGTGCATAAAGCATTTAAGTGTACTATATGCGGTGCACAATTTACTCAACGATCCAATCTTCAACGTCATTCCCTTCGTCATGTTGGTTTCAAACCTTTTGTATGTAAAATATGCGATAAATCTTATTATCGTAAAGATCATCTTGTTCGACATATTGAACTAACACATCCTGGTTGTGATCCACGTACAAATCTTACTGTGAAACTAAGTTCAGCTGAATGTTTAGATTATTTAGATCAAATTAATAAACACGACAATACAAATGGTGAACAAATACAAATATCATGTCAAAACACCACTAATAATAATAATAACAATAATAATAATAATACTCCTGAAATTACTGTCAAACAAGATGAAAGTGATTCACAAGAGAAATTATGCATTCTGGTATCTCAACAACAAGAACAATCTAGCATTCACTCACAATCACATCAAATATGCACTAGTATAAATTCCTAAAAAAAGCCAGTTGTTATTACTATTATTGTTTTCCCAAAAAAAGGAGTCTTGTCATATCACTGTTTTCTTTTCTACCAATATTAGACAGCTATTGTTTGGGGTTTGTTTTTTTTTCATACTTTTCTATTCTTCATTGTTTTGTTTGTTTGGTTTATTTTTCTTTTCTAGAAATTTTTTTATTATTAAGAATTTAGTCATTTTCTACTTTTATATTTTGTATAAATTATTATCATTATCCGTTTAAGAAAATCATTCTCATCTTTATAATGGCTTATTATGCATCATTGGTTGGTTTATAATTAATTATAATTTACTAATATGCTTGTTTGTGATAACGAATAATAAACGAAATCTATAATTGTATAAACAACTCATTATGTTAGTTGGTTTTATATTACCGTATATACCTTGGAGACAATTTGTATATTTTGAATGTAACTTATTGCGTTTTGAAACTCATTAGTTTTTTTTTTGTTTTGTTTTTTTTATTACAAAATTTGATCGAGATAAGTTTCACATGTGATTTGAGTTTTTGTTGTTGTTCATCTTAAGAAAATCTTTTTATTGTATTCATATACAAAGTTTACTTTAAGTTAGTATATTGGTTGAGCTTTAAGTTCATCGGATAAATCATCATTGTATCTAACTGGTTTGTTCATACGGGGATAAGTCTGAGTGACTGATTAACTAGATTATTGTAAGACGGTTTATGAGTTATATTAGATAACGTTTGTTATCATTTAAGTTATGACTCGACTTTGATGTTCTCTTATGTCTATGCAATACTTTTAATGGGTTTACTGCTTGAATTAACAGTTTTAATTCCCTATTATAATGATAATATCATTTATATTCTTCAGGATGATAATTCAAGTTGTTATAAACATTTGTTCGGGTTGCTTACTAGTCGTATTAACTAGCAGACGGTAGTTAATGATCAGCCGGAACCAATGTACCTTTCCATGTTCTCTTAGTTCAATGCGTCTATTTGCCAGTTTGGCTTGAGCTTTTACATCCTTAACTTACTAATACCAGAGTTAATGGAGAAAATACCCGATAAATATGCTGTAACAGTTCAAGTGAAGCTGTATCTCATTGATTAGTTGCTTAATTTACAATTATTGGTTCACTATTAGTTAGATTCATCCTGGTCATTGACCTTTGTCCTACGAAGGGTAATAGACATAATTAATTAATTAAATTTGGCCTCATATTGTACTGCTAGAGTGGCAAGAAATATAAATCTCTTCTTCGTGTAACTGGTTTAACTTACGACTTAACGACCGAATGTCTACGAGGTTACCGACTTTCGAAATTTCTTGGTAATTGAGTAATATTCCTTTCACCATAGTAGGTTGTGATCGGTGGGATGTAAGTGAGGGAAATCGTTTATGAAATATGAACAACTATAATTTCAAGCCGTAATACTAAGCTAAGAAGCAAAGGATGCTGTACAAACAGGAAGACTGCTATAAATACCTAGTATTCACACAAAGACCTTTATTGATTTTGATAAAACATCAGGAAAAAGGAGTCATGCGGATTGGTATACCCTACCATCGTTTGGTGTTTCTCACAATTTATTATTTCTAACCAAGTTGACACTGATCATCTAGTTTATGCTAACGGTATTTCCAGAAGTTATGCCTCCTTATTCATAAAACACCTTCTGGAAAAAAACATTACCTACTACTGGTGAAACAGTTTCACTATTTTCCATTTTATTCTTTTAAGAAATATTTTCCATTTCGCTAATTCGACTGGTCGCCGCCCACGCTACTACTACTACTAATAGCTGTGTAGTTGTTATAAAGCAATAGATCGAGTAAATAAAGTACTTAATGTGTTGTACTACTGATCTATTCAAAATCAATATAATTTTAAAATATTTCACACTGTTATGTTATTGGTTAATTGTTACGCCTAAAAATCGATACTGCAATAACTCTGAGGGCTAGCAAGAATTTTCTAATACAAACACCATACTCGTATTCTTGTTATTTCTCACTAACTGTCGTTTGGTAACCCGTAAGAAAGACTGTTGTCTGGTAGAATTAACATTGTAAGAACTTTTCTCAATACAGTTTATTTGGTAGCTGTTATATATAAAGAATTCATCGTCTGTGTTACCCTCGCTCATCCTCCTCCCTTCACAAATGTCATGTATGTCTGTGAATATTGTATTTATTCATGTGTGTCTTGTTTTTATCATACCAGTTTTAGATACCTGGCTGGTAAAAATTGAATTGGAATATCGATCAGTCACATAATGTCACAGTTCATCTGTTCACACACTCATTTTGGCTGTGTATAAAAGTATCATGCTTTAATTAATCATCAAGTATTAACTCTGTTACTGAAGTTGGGAGATGAATTCTACTAGTTTGGATACACTCTAGAAATACTTGGTTAACAATGGACTTCAGTATTTATTAAAACAAACTATATTGTCTTTCTTCATAAATTCCGACTTGTTGAAGAATTAAAAATAATCTACCGTCCAAATAAATTGTTAAAAAAGGGGAATTAGTAGATCTAAGTTCAATGGACGTCTTGTTTCGACAGTTTTATGTGTTTGCTATCTTTGGGAATAACAACAATCATTATCTGTAATTTCACTCAAACTTAATAGACCTAGTTCTAACTAGGATGGAGATACTGTGTAACGTATGTCTAGAGATTTATAAAAATATTTCTTCCTGCTTATGGAAAGATACACATATTTTGAGTAGTTCACATCTAATTGTTACAAAGATTAATGAAATTTTCATAGATTTCCCGTTTATAATGCACGGTTTATATATCTCTTACTATAATAGCAAACAGTCCCACGCTTAACACCTTGTTGATAATATTAAGTTCTTAATTAGGGCATGGGATACAATTTATATCAGCTAGTTCTTGTTCCTAATGTATTTCATTCAAATACACGCAAAACATCAGATCCCAAAAGACAATTTATTTCGTACATCTTACATTAGACAGCACACACTGACTGGCATCACAGATAAAAACACTTTATCACCAAATAACTTCACTGAAAAGTTCATACCAAGAGTTCGTTGACTATTAAAATACTCATTACATATAATATCCAAAATGACAGTACCCAATCTACGGATTGACCACTGGTGTAACAAATTATCTGAACTTGAAATATCTTTCACTGGGAAGATATAAATACTGGATTAAAACACGGTATTGTTCAACAACTGAATTAACTCAATATGTAGAATGCAATACAGTGCCTTGAGTTAATTGACTACTTCAAGTCAAACATAGAATGACATGAAAAGAAACAATTATTGGATTCATCTGAAACAACTAGAGAGAGATATCTCAAATAGATTTCATTTTTGGTGACAAACTTCACCGAAATATACCCATAGTTACTTTGAACCCCGATGGGTGTTGTTAAGCGCCGCACTCACAAATACTTACGTCAAACACGTTTTCAAGGTCAATTTGTGTATATAGTAGATCACCAAACAACATCCACGATAGGCGAGTTAAACTCGATGAAATCCTCTTGATCACAATAAAAAAATCCAACTATCTTATTACGTAATCTACCTCTGTGAAACTTAACTGAAGTGCATGATTTTCGAAATTCACATGCCTACAAAAGGTATAGTGATTAGTTTTTGTAGGAAATTTTTAAAGTTACTATCGATTGATTGTTGAGTGAAATAATTGAACTCACGTAAGTAAAAAAGAATGAAATATTGGACGATTACCAGACTGAAGCTCATTAACTCTAAGCAATATTCAGGTGATAATCCAATTTTCCTTGGTTCACGTTTACTACTGAATAAATAGTCAAGTGATTAATAACTAAAGGACTTACATTTCAGAAATATTAATGTTTTCGTCCAAAAGGTCACTTGCTTAACATAACATATAACATTATTACTTAATGTTTGTGGGATATAGTGCAGTACAGATAAAAAATGTATCCACATTTTCTTGATCTAATAACTACATTTTACTAATATCTACTTCTTGAGTCAAACTGATAACTATCATAGACTTATAACGCAACAAATATTTGTTGGAACCATTTCAACAATATGTAAGTACTGGTAAGTGAAATCTAGAACTATAAACTGCAATCTTATCACGAATTATAAGTTGACACTCAAAAACTAAACAGCAATGAAGAGTGAAATAACTTGTTGTTACAGATAAATAACTGCACACTTTACCCTAGTGTTTAGTAAATGCTTATCTTGTTATCTAAAGGTAATTTTCACTAGAAATTTATAATGTGTAGAATCACTAAAAGCATGACAACCCTGAAGAAGAAGCTGTTTTGTTCAATGTTGAAGCTCCTCTACGTTGTACGATTCCGACCCTCTTAGATGACTGAACACGAATCGATTCCCGTTATTTCTAGAGAAACAACACCCTTAGAATATTAAGTTAATAGTTTAGAGTAGTCCATATTTGCAGTTTTAACTAATGTATGACCAAGATAATAAATAGACATTAACGGAAGTGACCGATTACCCCACCATCTACTTGATTCAGTTCACAGGTCAAGAACATATAGAAACCTACCTCGGTGGAAAGTGGAAACCACAAACGAGAACAAAATAACTATCCGACAACTGCATTTTAGGCCATTTTCCGTATGATATCAATATAGAGTGGAACTCACCTTCAAATTGTATGAAATATCCTCGAAACCACTTAACTTTTCCCCAATAACCTGTGTTTCTTTTTTTAAGTTAATTCCAAACCACAAAACAAGAAGAACTAGTTCAGCGAAGAGTTCTCTTTTCGGCGAAATCATTTTCAAAGTTATGTAGTCGTAAATAAATACTAATTTTACATGATATTAATTACAATAATAGTGATAATAAAATTCTTTTCAGCATGGTAACAGTTAGGTAGAATAAACTTTATTTTTATCAGGGAAAACAATAATTTTATTGTTAAGGCCTCAAATATTCATCATGAAGATAGTTAGGGAAATTATAATTGGGTAAGGGTGGCTCAGCATGAAACTGAGATGAAATGAATTCAGGAAGATCATAGAAACATAAATAAATGAGTTGCGAATGAAGCGTCTATAGAGATGATAGAAGGTGAAGTAGATGGCTATGAAGGTAGAAAAGTATTAAAGGAGAAAGAAAATTATGAGACATTACGACCACTGTAGAAGAGGAGATTGTACTAGTTTCTTTTGGACACATAATTCTGGTTTTTTCCAGATGAATAGCTAGTGCTTCGATAGTGTTAATGAGATGCGATATAACTACCTTTGGCAGCTTTCTACGTACCTTGTAGATGACTGTGAACGCAGAGTCCGGTTTGACTGAGTGACCTGTCTTGTGCAACTCTTAAGGAACTATTAATAAATCGTGTAAATTGCACTAGTTTTGAATGCCGTGAAACGGCGAAATTTCATAAAGATGATTACAAATTTGGTCAGTGTTTATCCTGTGGCAAGTCTCACCCATGTAGTTCATGTGCACATCGTATTTCTAAATGCTTTATATGTGGTGATATTGAACATATTCAGTCAGTTTGTAATACTACTGATCATCTTGCTGCAACTAATATTAAATCATGTAGTTCTGATTCTATTAAG